AGATACCTACCCCAAAATGCGCATCAAAAGCATTATTTTTAACATTTATAAGGAAACTGCTCCGATAGATGCATTCAACATACCTGCACATTGGCGATACCTGCCTTAAAAATTGTGCGACTAGTATCAATTATCAATGAAAGTATTACGTTTACCTGCACTGGCCCTACAATTACCTAATTTTACAACCTTTTATTTATTTTGCTCATCTCGCAGAACAACGAAAATGGCTATCAATTTATGTAGTTATATAGATAATTAGATAACATTCGGTAAAAATTTCGCTTGCAGTAATTTCTACATGGTAAGTGCTCCGCCAATATTTGGTTTCATAGGGATTCGCATACCTTCCTCATTGAAGTAGTAAAGAAAATTCGCTTAGTGCCTTTTTCGGTTACGTGCACTACGTGCTAAGCAAAATATACTGTATATATCGTTACCTTAAATCACAAAGGCTTTAACCAACACTTTTTTCGAAACTATTTTCTAAAAGCCCTACCTGTATTTAATACTCATTTTATAATGTTTCATAGTTCTCCTGCAAAATAAAAAAAATGTTGCTTAGGGCCTTTGTGAATTAAGGTGACGATATGTACATATGTATGTCCATTAAGCTGATTTAAAAAAAATCGACTTGTGTCTTTTCTAAAAAACCCCCTCTTCAATATCTCCGGGGGATGCCAAAGATGCCTGTTAAAATCAAAATTAAATATTTTTCCCATTTACCGCAGATTCTTAACAGAGAGAACCTCCAGCCCTAAGACTTCGATTTACTAAAGAACCTCGTCTACCAGGAAGTTTATTTTATTGATTTTAATTGTATCACACTTTCAAATTTTCAACAGTGTCGAAAAGTGTTAGCAATTCTTGTTCCTTTTTCTTGATACGCCCTTTAATATCTGTTATAGATTCAGTTTTTGGCACACTCTTATTCAGTATTTCATCCATGGATTTTATGAGTCTGGTGAAAGAGATAAAATAATTAAAAAAAAAAATGGAAAGTGAAAAACTTAAACAAGGGAATAGTGTAAGTATTTTTTGCCTTTAACGAAATCGTTTAAGAACTGGTTGACTATAGGAGTAAGTCTGGTTTTTTCATTTTCAGAAGTGGAATAATAATGGGTTCCTGGGTTGAAAGCTTAATCCGGACTATTGCTGAATGCATCTTAGTTCGATATTTCGTGAAATATACGAAAAAGAAAATTTGACAGCGTGTATTCAACAATAGCCTCTAGTATTTGTAATTCACACAAAGGCAAAATAGACTCTAACTAACTAAACTTCTTCCACTTTTCTTGTTAAACTACCAATATGAAATTTCACCATAAACCGAAAGAAATGATAGTTAGCTTTTCCAGTTCACATATTTTGTAAGATTGTTTGGAGTTGCTAGCTCTAATCGTTTTAGGCGACAACAAGAAGTCAATTCGATGGCCACCCTAAACTACTTTTTGCTCTCCGATATACCGCCCAATTGTTGGAGTTCTTAAAAACTAATATCTGAGCAAGAGCGTATAATTTAGGGTCTACATTATTCTAGGATTCTACGACTATTATTTTGTATACCTTTTTTTAAATTCCTTTATAACAGTAAAAACTTAACATGAATGGAGCTCTCATAAAAGCGGTCCCACGATAACCGAACAATAACACTTTCTCTAGAAGGATTCCGCAAAAATATAGCCATGACTGCGTTTCATGGCACCCTTGCGCTACAAGGGTTGGGAGTAGCCATAAACTACTAGTGATATTTTCTCTAATTTCCTAATAAGTGACCGCTCTCAAACTACTCAAACTTTTGCTCCAAATACGAAGTAATCCATGCTCCCGTCGCATCCACTCACTTTTTATCCACTTCGATGGTTACTTTTGATTTGCGCGAACGTCTTGTGATTGCAGACTTTTCGAGAAACTCCTTCAAATCAGTCAAATGCTCTTCCTGCTTCACCGAGTGACCCTCAAACTTACGCTGCGCCTTCAGTAGCAACTTCTTGCGCGTCTCATTTTGCTGTCGTTCGATTTCTGCGATAATGCTTGCCTTCGGTGGCAGCAATTTAATGTCACCAATGATCAAATCGTGATTAAGTATTTCCGGCTCATTAGTCTGTATACCGATTTCAGCATGATTAAGCTGTTCCATATTCTCTTCCTTCTTAGTGTGGACTTCATTTTGTTTTGCAGCCGTTCCTGCTGTTCCTGCCTCTTGCCGTTGCAACTGACGTGCGGTGGCACGCGCCGCTGTATTGGTCGGTATACCGGACATCACTTTACGGCCATCGCCGCGTGGAGTTAGGTGAGTGTTATTGCTTGAGTTGCCCGATTGCATTTGGCTGCGCGTGCGTACCGCTACAGCGGTCCGTGAAACTGGTGTCGGCTTGCGTTCGGTGAATTTTGATCGCATTTGTGGCAATCTTTGGTGTCCAGTGAGTGTGGCGCCGGAAATTATCGTTTCGCCACCCGTTGAGCTAATGCGGCGCTGTGTCAATGTAGTTGCGGTTGTTTTTGTTAATATGGTCGATGATGCTAATGGTCTATGCGTCGTCGATGAAGGGACAATGACATCTTTCGTTCTACTACCGGACGCAAACATTTTTCGAATTTGGAATTTGAATGTTCTATAAACGCGTTGGAAATTCAAGGAAAATTAAAAAAAAACAAACAATTGCTTGAAAGTTTGGAAGAAAAATTTTGTGACTTGTTTTCAATTGAAATGCTGATAGTTTTTGGAAAAAATAATAATTTTCCGACGAATTGATAACCTTCTCCTGTTTGTGAAGTCGGTTAAAAACAATCGGACAATGAAAGAGTGAATTAAAAAATAGGAAATGGATTTCGAATATGACTTCTACATAGGTGGAGCGAAATAGGAATTTTCCATAGTTTTCGGCATTAATAGGAACATTTAGGCCCAAGACTATTTAGGCCCGGGCATGATACAAAAAACAAGGTAATTCCATTGCCACTTTTTCGTCGCCATATTAACAACCTGACAATTAGGCGGATTGTGACATTTCGTGCTACCATACCCAATATCTAAAATCCTTCAAATTTTCTTATTAATGTTTTGTCGATTTAAAAATATTTTGTTCTTAAGCATAGCATAATAAGAAATAAACAAGAAATAAGTGTTAAATTCCACAACATTTCGTTGAAACATTTTTGCAACATGAAGCTAGCAACACAATTTTCATAACATTTTTAAATACACATGTACATTTTAAATTGTGTGAAAGCTGACAGTTTATAGAATTCAGTAGCGACGAAAACAAAGGGGGGTTAAGTGGTTAAACCTTACCCAAGCCGATCATAAAACTTGCGACGCAATTTCGGCTTATGCCTGTGGGTCTTGGCAAGAATATAATCCCTGAAGGTTTAGCTTAAAATGGTTTTCGGGATACACCCTGTGATCATGTTACTTTCCAGAAGGTGTGGCGCCCGTTTTTCTGTACATATTTTCGTTGGAAAAATACCTTATCTCAGTATTCTAGGTAAATGCTTCCAGAGGTATCTATGCGTCACCAGAATTTTAGTTTATTTGGCTTATACCGCTAGCTCTTTTCAACTGCTACGAGATTGTTTTCATATACCCCCATTTTTCATAGGTTTGGGATTGATTTCATTTACCCCTATTCCTAGTTCTACGGTGGCACGCCGCATTTTCCAATAAACCCATATTTTTCCATGAGCTTGAGATTGACTTCATATACATATATCCATACAAAGTTCCAGGACTCTTAACACAAATACTTCCAGAGATATACACTATGAAAAATTCGATTTGAAGAGAGGTTCCACACGCCCTTTAGATATCGGTTTTGTTTTAGCCTATAACCA